TCAGATATTCCTGCTCCACTGGGAGCCAGTTCCATCAGATATTCCTGCTCCACTGGGAGCCAGTTCTGTCAGATATTCCTGCTCCACTGGGAGCCAAAATATTCCTGCTCCACTGGGAGCCAATTCCCTCAGATATTCCTGCTCCTGCTCCACTGGGAGCAATTCCATCAAATATTCCTGCTCCACTGGGACCCAATTCCATCAGATATTCCTGCTCCACTGGGAGCAAATTCCATAAGATATTCTTGCTCCACGGGGACCCAATTCCCTCAAATATTCCTGCTCCTCCATCACTAGAAGCCAAGTCCCTCAGATATTCCTTCTCCTCCATCACTAGGAGACAATTCCCTCAGATATTCCTGCTCCTCCATCACTAGAAGACAATTCCCTCAGATATTCCTGCTCCTCCATCACTAGAAGATAATCCCATAAAATATTCCTGCTCCACTGGGAGCCAATTCCCTCAGATATTCCTGCTCCTGCTCCACCAGGAGCCAATTCCATCAGATATTCCTGTTCCACTGGGAGCCAATTCCATCAGATATTCCTGTTCCACTGGGAGCCAATTCCATCAGATATTCCTGTTCCTGTTCCACTGGGAGCCAGTTCTGTCAGATATTCTTGCTCCACTGGGAGCCAATTCCATAAAATATTCCTGCTCCACTGGGAGCCAATTCCCTCTGATATTCCTGCTCCTGCTCCTCCAGGAGCCTTAGGCCCACTTTTGTCTTGCTGGCCGGACTCCATTTGGTGGAATTGTCATTTGTGAGGGGGGGATGCAAAACTGAGGGGACAAACGGCTCAGAACTAGAAACAATGGGAAGAAAACAGTAAAATATTGTTAGGAAAAGGCAAAATACTGGAAGAAAGTGGTAAAACATTGAATATTTCTTTCCAGCTGCCACATATGCCTCATATAAGTGAATGCCTGATGAAGAGAAGTTTAAAGCCCACGGACCTGAGGGACATGACCATCGGGCAGCTCCAGGTGATCGTCAATGACCTGCACTCCCAGATAGAGAGTAAGCGCTAATTGCTTCATTACCCGCGGCTCTGCCTGCTTTAATTAAGGACCATTCTCTGGGATAAATAGAAATATTCCCCATGGGAAGGGCTATCAGCTGGGATCTCCATGGCTGCAGGGATTTGTGGATTTTGGGGACAATCCCCATGGCTGCAGGGATTTGTGGATTTTGGGGACAATCCCCATGGCTGCAGGGATTTGTGGATTTTGGGGGACAATCCCCATGGCTGCAGGGATTTGTGGATTTTGGGGGGCAATCCTCAGTGGGGTGTGGATTTTGGGGGACAATCCCCAGGGGGGGTGTGGATTTTGGGGGACAATCCCCATGGCTGCAGGGATTTGTGGATTTTGGGGGACAATCCCAAGCGGGGGTGTGGATTTTGGGGGACTACCCCCAGTGGGGTGTGGATTTTGGGGGCCAATCCGGGGTGTGGGTTTTGGGGCCAGTCCCCAGCAGGGTGTGGATTTTGGGGGTCAATCTGGGCTGTGTTTTGGGGGTCAATCCGGGGTGTGGATTTTGGGGGGTCAATCCAGGGTGTGTTTTTGGGGTCAATCCAGGGTGTGGATTTTGGGGGGTCAATCCGGGCTGTGTTTTTGGGGGCCAGTCCGGGGTGTGGATTTTGGGGGCCAGTCCAGGGTGTGTTTTTGGGGGCCCGTCCGGGCTGTGTTTTTGGGGGCCCGTCCGGGGTGTGGTTTTGGGGCCAATCCAGGGTGCGGTTTTGGGGGCCAGTCCGGGGTGTGGATCTGGGGGTCAGTCCCCAGCAGGGTGTGGATTTTGGGGTCAATCCAGGGTGTGGATTTTGGGGGGTC